TAATCAAATTCTGGATGATTTTCGGAAAATCTTATGGAAGTTTCATCTGCCATATAAATTACTTTTATTAGTATGAAAGCTGATCAAGTATGCAATCCCCTCTAGTGATGTGCTTAAGCTTCACCATATACCTGTCTTTGGTTTATGTGCTCTTGGTTGTGATAGTGAAGAATCCTTAGAGCACTTATTTGTTAATTATCCTTTCACTATAGCCTTTTGATTTGGAAGTTTAAATATTAGAATGAAACAAAACAATTTTCAAAGCTTTGTGGAATGGTTAAAGTAAACTCGTTAGGTTCTTATTCGAGATACTCGTGAGCATATGGCTAAGAGAATCATTTGTTTGCGGAATGCTTTATGGAGGAAAAAAATTCCATCATTCATCAAGGAGGAAAAGTTTCACTGTAGGATATGATCAGAGAAATTGATAGTTGTGTTACCTTATATGACCTAGCTTTTTCTTCACCTCAAAATCCTCTAATTTCTTCTTCTCAATCAATTGATGGTGATTATCCTTTTTCTAACCTATTGGGATATGATATTATTCTTCATAAATTCAAGAAACAGATGATATCACATTGTCAAAGTATTATTTGTTTTCAAGGATCTTCAGTTCAAGCTTTCCTTTAAAGAAGTAAAGGCTCTAAGGGTTAAATATTTATCTAGGTTTGTTTTCAAACAACACTATTATGGCTAATGAATTCTGGAATTTTGGAGGAAAATGACCATAACTCTTTGATAATTAGTTATATCAATAAAAGATTCATCAGAATACCTACATAACTACTGCTTTCAAATAATCAAATTCGAAAGGGTATTTTTTTCTTTTTATGTTGTTTTAAGAACTGTAATTCTAGGATTGTATCTATTTCTTCTTTTTAAATTTCACTTAAGATACCTGTTGCTCTATCTGCTTTAGAACCTTGTAATACTTTATTGTTCTAATTATATTATTTTGACTTTTCTAACCAAGAAAACGAAAAATATAGATTTAAGTTAATTAAAAGGTATAAAACGAAAAATATAGATTTAAGTTAATAAAAAAGTATATTAGAAATGTTGAACTAATAATATGAAAGGAAAATCACACTTAAATCTATCTAAAATGCCTATCTTCAATATTTCTTAATTATAGAGGAGCATTATGGTCTTTTAATGAAATTCATAAATTTCTATTAGACATGTTGCCTTAATTAAGAATTTGTTGAAATTGTAAGTTTAAATTTGAATTTTAATATTATAATTATATTTAATTAGGATTCTCCCTAATTTTTTTTGTCACATAGATATTTGAAATATTAATTTAGCCAATTTATAGATTTAGTCTTTTTAAGAAAACTAAATAGATAAGTTTACATGACCAAAAATTTTGAAAGAAATAAAAATATATGCGTTGAAATTTGTTTTGGTAACATAAATGACTTGTAAACAACATCGGGTTAAACAGGGGTATTTTCATACAAGACATATTTAAAAATTAGTTGGATGGAAATGAAATTTTAAATAATATAGAAAGCTAAGGGTGTTGCGTAACTAATAATTTTAAGGAAAGCCCGTATAAAGTTTGAAAAATAAAACTAACAAGATGTTGCTTGAAATGGTAAGCGATCTCATTCTTGCAAAAAGGAGAATAAAGTTCGAATTTTCAGAAGCGTACTTGTTGGAGGGCTTTAATCTTTATGCTCGTAATCCAATAGAGATTGGTCTTGAGTACAAAGTGACTTGAGAATACATATTTTAAATCATACCAAATTGAGCATGTTTCATCCTAATTAAGAAAAACATTAAACTTCATTAATTCTAACTTAAAATTTAGTGATTTTCTAACTTTATTATAATTTAAGTTATATATATTTAAAAAATGAAAATATACACAATAATAAATAAATAGTAAAATAGAATATTTATGTTAAAAATTTAACAATATAACTGATAAGTATCAATAAATGGGTTAAAATGCATCCAATATCCTAAAATATTTTTTAGGGCAACTTTACCCTTAGCTAAAATACCTACCTTCATTATCTGCCTTATATAAGATCAAAGGAATGGTTGTTACGGAATGCGCATTCACATTAATAAGTGCTTGGATCTACGCACCAAATAACTTTTTAGAAAGGCCCATATACATTCACCCAATCAATTATGCGGAGTGCTGCGCGCTTTGCTCAAAATTGCTCTCCTCTTATTGTTTGAATGTCTTTTACTGTGTGAATGACTTTACTTTCATTGTTAGATATCTTATCCTTGGATTTTTCTTTTGTATATTTTTGCTTTATTTTTTAAGGAAAGTGATATTCTCAGTTGATTAAAGGGTGACAATTTTATGGAGAGTGGTAGTCTATCATGCGCCTTAAGTGATGATGAGAAGGCTCAAAAATTGAAGTTGTTGTCAATAGCCTTATAGCTTAGTGACATGTAAGTTCTTCTTATGAGAGATTGTGACCTACTATTGCCCCTTTTCATTCAAAAAATTTGAAATTATGGATGGGTATGGATAATATTTAAAACAGTTGATTGATTTTACCCAACAAAACTTGAACGTTTGTTGGTTGAGATGGAGGTCTCTTCTCGAAGATATTGATGCATGATTGAATGGTTTGGTAACATCTTTCTGATATTCTACAAAGTTATTAAATTGTAATATTACTTTTCTACAATTAATACTGGGAAAAAGGGTCAGCCCGTCATGGGTTCGGATTTAAACGGGCCAACTTGTTTAAACATGTGTCCTAAAAATAGGTGATTTTCTCAATTCCGACCCTTGAGCTAAGAAGCTCAAGTTGGCCTACGGGCTTTTGGCCTGTTTAACTAAAAATGCAATTTTTTTATGTTTCTTTCATATTTTATCAAAATAATGAAAATGAAACAATTAAATTACCAATAAAAAGTATAAATATGAATAAAATTAAGTCAAAAACATAAACATCATCATATATAAACATCCAAAACATTCATCAGAGTGTAATAGAATCTATTGAATAGACAAACTAAATAGAAGATGGACATAAACAACTAAACAAACACTAAGTTCATATTAAGCAACATCAGGCATCAAGTGGCAGTAACATGATCTTTTTTTTTAAAAAAAACTTTATCATCGTTATCATCAATTACAAGAACATTTGATTGTGCTTCACTAGTAACTGACTCTTCTTGACTTCTAAAAATATCAATAATTTCTTCTCCATCATCAATATCACATGCATTTTTTGCAACAAATAATAAAACAAAATCATGCGTAAAGTGTTAGGGTTATCCTTTTTAAGTTAAGAAAAAAATAGAAATTTAAAAAAAAAATTGTTGGTGGGCTTAAAAGGATCAGCCTGTCTAATTTTAGGCCTTACAATGCCAACCTTTTAAGCCCAATTTACCTTTGGAGGCTCTAATACATGAGCTTACCTCTCAATTTAAATAGGTTGACCCAACAGGTACGGTCTATTTTCCCGGTTCTATCTACAATAAGAAACATTCTCGATCTGCTGAATAATTGAACATTTTGAACACACAAGGATACAGCTGAATAGGTGATGAGCATCAAGCATTATATACTTTCATGTTTGTTTGGTGCAAAGCTTGGGGCATATTAACACTGAAAAGTTGTACGCACAAGAAGTACATGTTTTATAATGTCTATTTGACTAATGGTTACCGTTAGTCATCATTAAATTAATTAATTTATTAAGAAAACAAGAATGAGTTATAGCATTTTCTCAACAAAGCACTACAATTAGTCCTTTTTTTTTAAAATTTGATTTGTTAAAAAAAAAAAATTAGCTCACGCAGGGCTGCTGTTTCCTCAAGAGAGCACTATAGCTACTTTTTTTTTTTTTTTTTTGAGTTTGAAAGAACTGAAGCGCTTAATAAAGCAAGCCCCATAGGTTACTTGTTTATAAATATAAATATAAATATAAATATAAATATAAATCGTTTAAATTATACTTGCGGCAGCACTTCCTCACTACAAAAGTTTTTTTTTTTTTGAGTGAACTACAGAAGTATTTTTTTATTGTGTGTGTGTATATATGTCTTTAAAATTATACTTATCATAGCACTTACCTCAAAGACCCATTTTGATACAAAGATGGAGGCCGCCGGGAAGATGGATGCAACATCACAGTGGTGGAAGCTGCGTAGGTGAAGGCCGGGTTGCCATGAAGGGGGGATAACAAAAAAGTAGATGGTGTATATATATTTTTTAAAAAAAAAATGACAGCAAGTGCTTTCTTTGAAAAACGCTACAACTTAATTTTTTTTTTATAGAAAAAACAATGTCTTTTTTTTCAGAAAAAACAATGTCCAACAAAACAAAAAATAAGACGCATTCAAAAGCGATTGAATTATATGCTAATACAATAGAATTGATACTTTTAGTTTAACACTTAATCTGGCAAAACAAAAAATTTCTTTAAGTTTTGTAATCATCAAAACATGTGGTCTAACAATTATGTAGCTTATAATTCTATGGGATTCTTTTAAAAACAGTAAAATTTTTATAATTAAAACAAATTGAGTGGACATAAGTGTATTTTACTCTAACTAAAATTTATAAACTTGTTATATATATGGACGGTTCTACCCACGAACCAACTTTTCAAAAAGCCAATAATATACATTGGCCCAGTCAACCATGTGGAGGGCCACTTTGCTGAAAGTTGCTTTCTAATCAGTTGAATGTCTTTTCAAAAGGGCCAATGTACATTAACCTTTTTCTTGCCCAATAAAAATAGCATTGACTGATTTGTAGAAGACTCCATTTTCTACGGTGGACTTATAGCTTAACGGGATCCCAATTTGGTCCACAGTATGACATTTCTTTCTCGTAATAATAAGAGAATAAATGTGATTATAAACATCTAAACACAACAGATAATGCTGTGTGAAGCTTATTTCCCAATAAATGATTTTTTTATTTAGGCAAACAATTAAACACAGTCAAAATCATATATATAGCGGAAATAAATTGAAAAGAAAGTAATATATTTAATGGAAAACGAATGGTGCATATAAAAGGAGAGATTTGTCACCTATAACCATTAACAATAATTTGCACCTTGAGCTATTTTGAGATAAAGTTACATGCAGTTAAACTTGTCCTAGATCTTGCTCAATTACATGAAATTATGTCTTGACTCATCAACTGGTGAATTGAAATATCATTGAATGGAACTGTAAAAAGTGGCCTAGAAAGTGAAAGTTTCTGAGTCACTTGCTTCATTGATGGCCTACAATTTGGTTCAGCACAAACGCATGCTAAGGCAATGGTCATCACAAGAATTACATCCCAAATTTCTTTTCGAGTGCGAGGTTGAGGGAGTCGTGCGTCTAAGATATCTCTTAGCATTATCTTTTGATCTGTATAATCCTTTGTTAAACATGAAATTAACTCTCCTGAATGCTTTCCCATCATAGTTTCTAATGCAACAACTCCAAAGCTGTAAACATCACTCTTTTGGGTTGCTGATATTGCATATGCTAACTCTGCATGTACGGTCAAAAGAGTTCAAAAAAAAGATAAGAAGGAAACAAGTACTACCTCCGGTCCTTAATATAAGAACTAGTTTGACTTTCAATTTGATTTTAAATATAAGATTTCAATCTACTTTGTTCTTCATATTTATTGATTTTTTTTAAATAGTCCTTATAGTAGTTGTAAGTGTTAAAAGTTCCATTAAATATTAGTTTTAACGTATGATTAGCAAGGATATTTTAAGAAAAATAACACTTATTTATTACAAATATCTAACTTAACTAATTTTTTTAATCTCCTCAAATTAATTATCTAAGCCTCACATTAAGAACCGGAGATAGTATTATATTTAATCTAGAGTTTGATTTAGGACAGTTTTTTAGGTTTTTTTCCTTCAAATTCTACAATTAAACTTTAATGTTTAAGAGATTATGATCATGTGATATTAGTAACAAAAGTAATACAATTATATGGAATAATGAAATATAATTATCCATGTTCTATAGATTGATTGAAAAATTTGATAGGAAATCGACAACAAAATATATAACTACAAAATAAACAGTGAATTAGCGCTGAAATTTATAAATTTCATCACAAAAAAGACCATCCCTAATTAATTAGCAACAGAATTTCATTGCTAAAGTGATTTAGTAATGGAAATCCGTTGCCAATTTGTTGCTTTTTTTAGAAATAAGAAGATGATGAAGAAATAAGTTACCTGGAGCAACATAGCCATAAGTCCCAACTAGAAGACTTAGATTCGATGAATATGGATGAAGGGTCCCAGCCGTGCCAAAGTCTGAGACAAATGCTTCCATATCTGAGTTTAACAAGATATTACCACTTGTTATGTCTCGATGAATAATTGGAGGGACACAATCGTGATGCATATAACTAACAGCATGAGCAATCCCATTAATAATATTGAGCCTCTTGTTCCATGTTAACTTCTGAGCCTTTTCTTCATTTCTCAAAACATGTAAGAGGCTACCACATTCCATAAATCCATACACCAGAAACATGCACTGTATATTCAAACAAAAGCCATGCAACTTAACAATGTTTCGATGACGAATCTCTGTCAAAATCTCAATCTCATTGTAAAAGCTTTTATGAAATGACAGATTTTCCGATTGCATATAGCGAAGTTTCTTCACTGCAACAATTTTTCCACAAGGAAGTTTTTCCTTGTAAACCTCCCCAGAAGCTCCTCTTCCAATGCAGTATTTGATATCGAAATCGTCGGTAGCTTTAATGATATCTTCAAATGCAATATGGCCATCAAAATTCCACATTGAAGTGAAATCGCCATGCTTCTTCCCCTGCTTTTTTTCTCGTCCTTTTATTATTTTCCTAATCAGAACTTGTCTCAATATTTTGCTATGTCGAATAATAGCTGCAAATATAATGACAAGTACGCTTGTAATTACGAATCCACCAACGAAGGAAATAGTGGCCAGTACAGGCATCTTTTCATCCCACCAGGAAGATGGATGATCAGTCGCAAGAGCAACAGAAAAGAGGCAAGCACAGAAGAGAACCACATAGAATATGAAATTATTGAAAGTAGAGATTGGCAAGAGAACCAAGTTAAACATTTGATCATGCTCTAGTTTCAAGCAATAATGGAACTCGTCGGTCGTCTGGGTTGTGTTCAAAGAGAAAAGATTAGTACTGTTGATAATGCTCTTTCGGGTGGTTGGTCATTTATTTGTATAGGAGGTCGATATCGTGTGGTTGTTAAATATTGATGACTATGCATGTGGATTTGACGACCACAAAACTGTGGTTGACTTTCCACACGCGTTTAACGACTTCTTTCGGGGAAATTGAAGAAAATACTGTAATAAGTTGTGATTTTTTTCCTCAACACACTAAACTGTGGTTGATTTTTTTGTGTAGTTATAATATTATTAATTTTTTTACATTATTAATAATATTTCAAATATTTAGTTATTATTATCATTTTGAAATTAAATTTTACATAATGATTTGATGTATTTAGTTTTAGACAATAATTTGTCCAATTTAATTTAGAAAATGGGGTTAATTTGAGTTTTAATAATGATTTGATTTATATTATATGTGTTGATATTTTTAAACTATATATATATTTGATAAGAGAGTATTTTCATACTTATATAATTTGTGATTTTATAATTTGAGTTAGAAATTTATGAGTTTCAACAACAATGCCTCTTAAACTAAAGTAAAATAATAACTAGACTGAAAATTTTAAAGTGAAATTCCTATAAAGAAGAAAAACTTGATTTTTGACTACAAAAAAAGATCAATTGATTATAGTAATGATGAAATTTCAAAAAATTAATGATAGCATTTGTCTATGACACATTTGCACTATTTATGAAACTTTTAGATGTTATTATTTTGTTGATTGATGTTTTAGATATTCTTGAATGTTAATGGATATTTAGCTATGATGATATTTTGTATTTGTGACTTAATTTTATTCATATTTATATCTTTTATTAATAATTTTATTGGTTTGTTTTCATTTTTTGAAAAAAAAACATGAAAAATATTAAAAAATAGCATTTTTTTTTAAACAAGCTGAAAACCCGTGGGTTGGCCCTCAGCTTGTCAGCTTAAGGGCCGAGCTTAGCAAATTAGAGTATTTTTAAAATTTTAACCCTGTAAGACTGACCCTTTTAAGCCTGTCAAGATCGGCCCGTATTTCTATCTCTAACTTTACTACCAATATTCACCGTGTGAATTGTAATCCTCTATCCTCTTCCTACACATTACTGAGACAACTGTTACTAAAGACACAACTAAGGCCTACTCCTCGATTTCTAAATATTCCCTCTGGTCTTTATTGTAGGAATCCTTCTAGAAAAACTTTTTGATCTTTTTTATAAAACCATTTGATAGTTGCAATGCGTATTAAATACTTTTTGCTTATATACCCGCCCAAATTTAATGAAGGTAGTGAGGAAATAGAAATTAATTTGATGTTGGAATTTCGTGCAATTAATGAGAATAATATTAGAAATCACTTGAATTTTATGACAAATCTAATACTTGTAACTAGTTTTATTGGTATGTGTAAATTAGTTAGTGACTTCTTATAATAAAGATCAAAGAAAATATAAGGTTTATTTTAGAGTTTTGACTAGGTTCTAAATATAATATTCAATTTCTTCTTATCTCCTATATTAATTATTTTCTTCATTAATACATGTATTTATTGAGATGTTTTTATCTCAACTCGTTAAATTCCATTCACTAAGTGATGGGGTATTTTTGAAAACGTATTATTAAGAGTAAAATATGCTAACCACCTCTCTGTTTTTATCTAAATTATAGAAATCTCCCCTTTATTTTGAAAAAACATATAAACTTTTCTTGAAATTAAAATATATCTTATACAAACCTCCCTTATATATTTGAAGTTTCATTTCCAACTATTTAATTGTTAGTTGACCGTTAAGTTTGATTTTTAAAAATTTTTTTGACCAAAATATCCCTCATTAACATAAAAGTTATTTAAACATTTATATTTGTAAAAAAAAAAAAATTTTCATACAACAAAAAGTAATTTTAATACATGTGTTTTCAAAATTTTTAAAATATAATAAAATGTATTACTTTTGATTATATTATAAAATTTTATAATTTTAATTCGTCATCACATATAATGAAACTTATTTATATAGGTTTTTTTTTAAATGGCTAGAATGCGGGTGAGCCTCCTTAAAACCTCTGAGACTGAATCTAGAGATTTACAGGTCTTACCATGTCAAGGTCTTATCAAATGGCTCTTCTAGTCTTACACAAACCACATTAGGACCTCCACCTGTAAAACTTCGGACTAAAATTCTTCAGTCATTAAGAAATCATCTCACAGGATCATAGTCAAATTCTTTCTGAAAACTAATTCTATCTGCTTATAGATTCAAGTATGTTCTACAATTGTTTCATATAAGGATTCTATGTATCAAGAAGAATCCGACTATAATCTTGTGAGATGATCTCTTAATGACTAAAGAACTTTAGTCCGGAGTTTTACATGTTGAGGTCCTAACGTGGTTTGTGTAAGGTTAGGAGAGCCATTTGATAAGACCAAGATATAGTAAGACCTATAAATCTCTGGACTGAGTCTCAAAGGTTTTGAGGAGACTCACCCGGATGGAGATTATAGAAATCATTTAAATTTATAACTTAAAATTTTTAAATAAAAATTTTGTAAGAAACATTTATAACTTATTTAGTCAATTATATATTTACTTAAAGAATTAATCAAATTTCCATTCGAGGTTTTTATGTCTACACTAACTAAGTTACTTATTTTTCTATCCTAGTATGATAAAAACATTAAACAAATAACTATTTGGAATAAAAAATAAAAATAAGGGAAAGGATAAAACTTTAATTTTTTCAAAACTTTTTAGCCAAAATTTAGGAATTTAGTATTATGAAGAGTAAATTAGTAAATAAAAGTTATTTTAATATAAATTTTAAATTAAAAAGTATCTTTTTAGAATATTATTAATAGAATTGATGATTTGGACATACGTGTATGTTTTCAAAATGGAAGAGAGGTTTGTGGAATTAGGATAAAATACAAGGGAGGTCAAAGTATTTTACTCTATTATTAAATATTCTCTACATATTAATTACAAACAATCATCATGAGGATCTTATATCTAAGAACTGTAGGAACAAAATTATACAAATTTTTTAATGTAGAATTCATGTAATTTAACTTCTACTAATTGTAAGTCGAACATTACTTGTTATATATATAATATTCAAGTTAGCGTTTTTATCAAAATAAAAAATCTTTTTTTGGCCAAATTATCAAAAAAAAAATCCAAATCTATTTTCTTGCATCAAAACAAAAATCAATATATTTTATTTAATATATATAGAGAGAGAATGAAAGCATTGTTTATTATTTCATTTCTAATTTATATGCCTTTATATGGGAGTTCATGTTAGTTGTGTCTCTACTTAGATTTGTACATTTGTCCATATGTAGGGATGGAAATATGTCAGGCCCTTATCATGGGGCTACAGCCTAGCTTAGCTAGGACCTTGTATGACTTGGTCTGTTTAGCAAATAGACTAAGCCTGCAGTTTATTTAAAGGCATTTTAAGGTAAACATACAGATTAGGCTTTTAAATTTAAAGTTTGGTCTAAAGTTTGCAGGCCTAACCCGATCAATTCTTGAAAATATATATTAAAAACTTTATTTATGATCTTCAAAACTTAAAACACGAGATCTTTTTAAAAGTCCACTTATTATTGGCCAAAGTGTGGCGTGTTTCCATCTCCATCCATACGTGTGAAATTGATCCGAGTTGATTTATGGCAGAAAATTTTAGAAAATAAGATAATAGGCACTCAATAATTAGGGGTGTGTTTGGATGAAACCAAACTGTGGTTTGGAAAAGTGATTCTGGAGAATAGATTCTGAGAAAAAGTGATTCTGAGAAGTGAGAGTGTTTGGATAGTTATTACCAGAAGTGCTTTTTACATGTGGAAATTACCAAAAAGGGTATAAGTTAATATGATAATTATATAAGTGATAGATTTTATGATTTATTTTGATTTGAAGAAATAAAATTGTTAATGAAATAATTTTTACTAACATAATTAATAATATATAAGATAATATAATTAATACATAATTAATATGTGTACATATATTTATAAAACATAATATTAAATATGTTTATAGAAAAATGATTTTTTTTATAACAGAAAAATATTAATTTTGTTTAAAGATTGTAAACGTGAAATCCCATAACATTTTTTCACAACTACTTTTTGTAATAACATACTACATGTATAATAACCTCTGATGTTTAATACAATTAATTAATTAATTGTCACCACACATATATATTCATAAAATATAAGAGTGAAAAATATTTTTAGAGAAGATGAATTATTTTGTTGCAAACAGAAAGTCATGTATTTTTCATGAAGATTATAAACATAAAATGAGATGATATTGTTTGATAAAATAGAATAAACACGTCTTAAAATAATTTATTAATTATTCAAGTAAGTAATAATTAGCTTGAGAATATAAGGTACAATATTAATAAGAGAAATATAAATAAAGAAGTGTCATAATCATTAAGATGATGCATCGATACAAAGCATTTGTAATAGGTTTTGTTTTTAACTACATATTACAATCTATGATAAAAGGAAATAAATAAGACATAACTACTATCCTCGTATTGAATTAACAAGTTCGTCTCTTATGCTGTCACGAACCTGAGCCATGTAAGATGAAGATTGAATTGATGAATGTATACGTGAAAATCTAACCCCATCATCATCATCTTCTGCATAAGTACCTTCTTCTTCCAACTGAACGAATCCAGGATCAGTAATAGATGTCGTTCTAATAAAATTATGTATAGCCATCGTTGCATAAACGATTTTAACTTGTGTTTCAAAATCATAGGATGGCATGTTTTGTAAGATTGCGAACTTTTTTTTCCAAACTCCGAAAGTTCTTTCAATTGTACTCCTTAAACTTGAATGGAAATAATTAAAGATCTCATTGTCATTTTCAAACCCAGATGTCCTTCGAAAATCAGGCAAATGGTAACGCTCTCGTCTGTATGGGCCGAGATATCCATTCGGTGTTGGGTATCCAGCATCCACCAAATAATATT